CAGCCCGAGCGCTGGCAGCCGCGGCGAATCCAGCCCGCCCGCGTGGCCCTTAACCCTAACCCTCGACAGCACCCTCAGGGTGCCCTTCCTGTCTCCGCTGGACGCGGAGGTGGCCTGCTGGTTCCTGGCCCCGGAGGTCCAGCCGCCCGCGCAGCTCGTCCGCAAGGAGCTCAGCGTGGACGGCAGCGACCTGGTGGTGTGAGTGGCGGCGGGCGGGCACGTGGGCGGGCGGGGCCGAGCCGGCCGTGCTGACCATGTATAGGAGCGGTGCGGGCGAGGTGCGCGGCGAGCGCCTCAGCTTCTATTTTTACCCCCCACGGTGGGCACATATTTGACGACTGGGGTGAGGGGAGGCGGGCCAGCCTGGCGGGGGTGCCGTTCTGGCGGGGCTCCCCAGAGCACCCTGCACAGAGCACTCTGCCCACGGTGTCCCCGCCAGCGGCCCCAGAGACGCCGGGAGGGTCGGCGGAGGGCCCCTGCGGCCCCGCTCACTCCGCGGCGGCCAGTGCCAGGCAGGTGGCCGGAATGGGAAGGGACAGCGGGCCCTGGGGCGCCTGGCCAGGGAGCCCGGCTGGGCCACGCCTGGGCCCGTGCGGAGGCCCGACGCCCTGGCCGCAGGCGGCTCACCGGGGCCGCCGCTGCCCGCAGAGGGCCCTTGTCCCTCAGACCGGTGAGGCCACGGGCCCCAGACACCCGCCTGGGCTGGGGCTCTGGTGGGGAGACCCCTGTGGGCCTTGGGGACTCGGCCAGGCCTGTGGGGCAAGGTGGGGTCCACACGGCTCTGCGGCCCCAGCTGCCTGCACCGCCCCCCCCCATGGAGGCCGCAGGGGGTCACACGACCCCCCGGCCCTTAGTCGAGCCCCTGGCCGATGCCTCCCCACCTGGCCAGGTGATGGCGGGACAGGACCGGCTGGCCCTGACCCTCGGCCGCCCTGACACCCCACCAGCCCCCTGGGTGGCCTGCGGGCCGCTCTGGCCCCGGCCGAGGGTCACTACAGGGCCGGGCTGCCCGGAGGAGGCAGCTGGGCGTGCGGCCACGCGCCAGAGGCCCCACCGAGGTCAGGGCCAGAGGTTATTTTGGGCGTTGGCGACCTCCCCGGGCTCCGGGCTCAGCCTGCAGCATCGCCGGACACAGCGAGTGGGTGCCGGTCCCGAGCCCCAGCAGGTAGCTGGCACCCAACCCACCTGGCCTGGCGGGGCGGATGGGAGCGCTCAGCTGCCCGGGGGGGACGGGAGGACACGGGGTGGGGGGCGGGCAGGCG